GCCCCCGGCCAGCTCCCTCCTCTCAAAGATCCTGTCCAGAGCCAAAGGCTCTGCTGCCTGCTCCAGCCCCGCCAGCTTCCCAGTGGCAGCAAAGAACCATCCAGGTAAATCATCCTCATTAGAATCACTGTCTTTCTCTTTTAAAAGCTTCCTTTACTTGTTTCCAAACCTAAGGCCAAGTAACTGACTGTAGGTCACATCGTAGAATCATTGAGGTTGGAAAAGACCTCCAAGATCAAGTGCAGCTATCAACCCAACACTACCATGACCACTAAGCCATGCCCATGGTTTAGAGAGCCATGTCTATGTGTTTTTTGAACCCCAGCAGGGTTAGTGACTCCACCACCTCCCTGGGCCAAGGCCTCACCACTCTGCCAGGAAAGAAATTCTTCCTAAGATCCAATCAAAACCTCCACTGGGGCAACTTCAGCCCATTGCCTGTCATCCTGTCACTGGTTACCTTGGAGAAGAGACCAACACCCACCTCACTCCGACCTCCTCTCAGGGAGTTGTAGAGAGCAGGAAGGTCTGCCCTGAGCCTCCTCTTCTCCAGACTAAACACCCCCAGCTCCCTCAGCTGCTCCTCACAAGCCATGTTCCCCAGAGCCCTCACCACCTTCATTGCCCTTCTCTGGATCTGCACCAGCCCCTCATGGTCTTTCTTATCCTGTGGTGCCCAAACTGCTCAGCTGTGGCCTCCCCAGTGCTGAGTCCAGGGGCAGATCATTGCCCTGCTCCTGCTGGATGCACTAGATTGGATATCAGTGGTGTTGATGCCTTTTGTTTCTGTATATATATCTTTTTGGTTTCTCTTTGCAAAGTCATCTTCTGTGTTTGGTTTTTTTATGCTGAACTTCTGAACGTTTATTTGCCATGCAGGCTGCTGGGAAGGTAAAGCTGCTAAAATTGGAAACCAGAATGTTGTTGAGTCTTAAATGATTCTGCAATTGTTAATTCAAATCTGTGCAGGTTTCAGCTGTTTATGCAGAAATGTTCAAAAACAGGCACTTATTGAAGCAAACGTGATCCCTCTGGGGCACAGGGGTGGGACCGTGGTATTTGTGGCTACTCTAGGACCAAGGTGGTGAAAATCAGCTTCTCTGTGGCTGCCTCACTAGCACCTGCTGCTGGTGCCCACAGAGAGCCTGATCCTTGTGGTTTGTGACAGATGGAGCTGGTGAGGGGTCTAGAGCCCAGGTGTGGTGAGGAGCAGCTGAGGGAGCTGGGGGTGCTGAGCCTGGAGCAAAGGAGGCTCAGGGGAGACCTTCTGGCTCTGCACAGCTCCTGACAGGAGCCGGGAGCCAGGGGGGGGTCAGGCTCTGCTCCCAAGGAACAAGGGACAGGACAAGAGGAAACAGCCTCAAGTTGCCCCAGGGGAGGTTGAGGTTGTCCCTGAGGAACAATTTGTTCCCCTGGAGGGTTGCCCAGGGCTGTGCCAGGCTGCCCAGGGCAGTGGTGGAGTCCCCACCCCTGGAGGGGTTTCCAAGCCGTGGAGATGTGGTGTGAGGGACACGGGGCAGTGGGGACCTGGCAGTGCTGGGGAAGGGTTGGACTTGTTGATCTTGAAGGCCTCTTCCAACCAAAACAATTCTGTGATTCTATGAAGTTTGTTGGTGTAAGACTGTGCTTTTTACAGTCATGGGTATAAAGCTTTTTTTCCAGAGAGCTGCCTATAATCAAAATTCACCGTTTAGCCAGTCT